CTTATTTATTTCACTTATATCTAATACTTATTCATCAATATTGAGGAATTATTGACTTAAAAACAAGTTCCTATATTTTGCTGAAAAGTTACTTGTAAGTTATTTTAAGCTTACTAAGATATTTTCACTAGAAACTTGACCAAAAATACTTGGTAGCATTTTGAGTTTTTTTGCAGTGTATTTGGCAAAATGGCACAGGAATAATTTTAAAAAGAAGAAAGTTCTTCAAATTTGTCATATTAGTGATAATTGTGGATAACTGCCAAACTGTAAGATTGAAAAAAGAAATGATTGAAAAAAAAAATGTATTTAAAAAAAACGCGATGGAATGTTTTCCACATTCTGTCATGTAACAACCACAAACTTTGATGCACTTTTATACAATGTAATAATAATTCTTCTTTTTTCCATCTCATATTATGTGCTACTTTTTGTTAGTCTGTCTCATAAAATGCTCAAGGCTCTGTGAAAAACTCCCCCTCAACTGAAGCTTTATCACTTTGAAACCAGCCGAAGTGAATCAGCGCAGTAAAGGTTTGCACCTGAATGGCAGCGAGACGGGCGAGTCGAGCCTTCTCCTCACGAATCCGCTTCCTTTCTTCAGCTCTCCTGTGCTGCTGCTGCTGCAGATGATCATCCTCCTCTCTCTTCTCCTCCCACTCCTGCAGATAAAAAAAAAGTGCTTTGATGCAACGAGAAGGGAACCACCGCTAAGACCACAGAAGGATTATTACAGACCTTTCTTTTATTGGTGAGGATCTGTTCAAGGGCAGCCTGGTGGCTGTGCTTCCTCCTGCTGAGGCGTCTGTACCAGCGCTGGATAGTGACCGCGGCCTGGTTCACCTGCTGGATAAACCTTCATGGAGACAACACATAAAAGCTGTGAGCCGCACGTCAGAGCACCGGCAGGAAAAACGTTCCCACAGAGGGGACCGACCTTTCCGCCTCCTGCTCTGTGACTTCCCTCCTCCGCGGCGGGACCGGGCTGCAGCGCTGAGCAGACACCGGAGATCTGTTGTTGGAGGTGGAGGACGAGGAAGAGAAGTTCTTCTGGGACTTTGTGACAGAGCCGTTCTCTAGCTGCACCTCGTCGTTCGCCGTCGCCTTTAGGATGTTGCTGAAAGCAACAAAAGAAAGAAAAGAAAAAGCATCTGTAAGTTCTTAAATGAAAAATGTGTCGTTTCCACGAAAGCAGAACTGAGACGTACTTGAAGGAGGGCTTCTGGTTTGAGCTCTTTGGTGTGAGAGGCTTCTCAGAGTAGTTGTTGTGTAAAATGGTGGTGACTGAGTTCCCCACGGCTCCTTTGTTGCTCCTGAAAAAAAAAAAAAAAAAAAAAAAAAAAAAAAAAAAAAATTTAATAAAAAATAAAAAAAAT